TCACCCAGAACTTCACTGATATCTGAGTTTAAATGTTTCCTTACATTTTGTTATTGGCAAATTAAAGATAAGATTTAGATTTTTTTAAAATTCTCACTCCTATCAACTGCAGAACTTTGCCATAAATAAACGTTATAGAACTAAATGTTAAAAGCTATGTGTATGGACTTTCTAGATGTAAATGTTTATTTGTTTGTTTATTTGTTTATTTAAGGATCATTTGTTTCTTTCTACTGTAGTAGAGGCTATTCTGACCAGGGTCCACACCGTACACATTGCAATTAAATCATGCTTTTACAAACATACAAAAATACATAATAAAATACCTAAGATGAAAACAAAATCAAAACACAAAAATTCAAATCAACCATCTCAATAACAACATTTTATAAGCACTGATGTAGATGTAGATATAAGAGCATAAATGTTTAGCCACATATATCCACCTGCTGTCTTTAGAAGCTTATATTACCAAATGACTATTTTAAATAGTAGACTTTGCTTTGCTCTGACACTGATGAACATCACGTAACACATTTAATATTTATTGTCTTTAAAAGAACCATAGTATTATGTAATGTAAATAATTTGGATGCTTTGATATTTGCAAAGAGCTGGGCTGACATTCAATAATTGTATTGCCAGTCCATGTATTTATTTAATTTCAATTCAATTCAGTTTATTTCTATAGCGCCAAGTCACAACAGAAGTCATTTCAGGGCACTGAAAAGAAACATCCATATATAAAAATAAAAATTTAGCATTATTTATCGGAGCAAACCATGGTAGAATCAGGGAAAAATAGATGTAGGAAGTTTTGATATCATAATAGTTTTTAAAGACCAGCTTTAGGACTAGCAGTGGGTTTGTTGAGTCTTGCACATACAATTGTAGTTTAAGGTTTTAGTTTTGATGTCTGATTACAGAGTTTCCATAGACTGTTTCCAGGAGATCGTAAAGTTTGAACAGGGTGTTGTCTGACTAAAATGTTTCATTCCCAACGAGCCACAGAGGCTTTGTAGTATTTTGCACACCACACCTCAACATATTCCCTGTAGACTTTTAGGTATTCACCGCCTGTTGCATAAGAGTACAGTCTGCACTAAAAAAACCTTTGGACACTGAACATCTCATAAACATTTGCTCATTAACAAGATTACTACTCGTTTCATTTTCTATTCATTTTTATTTTGGCACACATGCACTCAAAAAACCGTTAAGGTTAACATTAAATTGTTTACGACAGAAGTACTGTTATTACAGAGAAAACAAGCTAAGGAACATTAGTGCATTGGATTTGGATGAATACGGGATGATTTAAAACAGCTCTGCGTCCTCAGTCGCTCTAACGGGAAAAGAGCAACCAGCTTGCGTGCAAACGTAACTCCCAAACAATCTGCCCAAGGGAGTATAATTTGGCAAGCACTGCAGGAATGCTATTGTTAAAGATACAAAAATATATGAAAAAGTATCTGATATGATAGACATTGTCTTCCTGTGTTGCAAATAGCAGCACCATATTTAATTTGATTTCACTATGATTTGTATATTTAAGAATTGGTTAAATATTACCAAACACACACACACACACACACACACAAAAGATTTTTAATCTTTTAGTATAATGGTAAAATTATCATTTAACCTATGAAAAACAAAATGACTGAATGCACTCATGTCGTAACGTACAGTATTCAGTTCTATTCAGTTTATAGTGCCATGTCACAACAGAAGTCATCTCAGGGCACTGTACAGAAACATTCACATACATTATAAACGCCAATCAGTAAAAGTTCTCTATCTAAGGCGGCCGGCAGATTGCTTTGAATCTTTAGTTACAGTCTCCCATCCTGAGCAAGCACAAAGACAACAGTGGAAAGAAAAAACTCCCTTTTAACAGGAAGAAACCTCCAGCAGAACCAGGCTCAGGACGAGTGGCCATCTGCTTTGACCGGCTGATGTTTGAGAGGAACAGGAAGGAGAAACAGACAAACACAGAATGGCAGGTCCAGGTGTACTAATAAAGTAAAAAAAAAAAATGGTCCAAGTGTACTTTCTATTGGAGGAAAGACAAAAAAACACATGTTAAGGATAAAAATAATAACAATACAAAGAGGTAGAGTAGAGCAAGTAAAGACAGCAGCAGAGTGAGGCATTGTGGTCAGTTTGTCCTCCATTAGTCTAAGCCTATAGCAGCATAACTAAGGAATAGCTCAGGAAACCCAAGCTGACCCTTAATATCAAAAAGGAAGCCTAGTTTTAAAAGTACAGTAGACAATGTGTCAGCCTCATGGACAGAAACTAGAAGTTGGTTCCACAAGAAAGGAGCCTGATAACTGAAAGATCTGCCTCACATTCTACTTTTGGAAACTCTAGGAACCACAAGTAAACCTGCAGTCTGAGAGCCAAGAGCTCTGTTAAGAAAGTATGGAACAATAAGAGCTGTAATATAAGATGTAACTAGGTTGTTGAGGACTTTGTAGGTTAGAAGTAAGATTTTGAATTCAGTTCTGAATTTGACAGGAAGCCAAGAGAGTATCTGTAGCATCACAGGATTTTAATATTTTGAACAGGATACTAGGGGAAATGTTGAACAGTAAACAAAAGGGCTTGAGTTGACACAGGCTCTGACCCTCCTGCTGTCTTTGTCCTTGTAAGGAGACTCCTGGGGTTTCTCATTTTGACTTAGTCACGCTAACAGGGGACTCAGACCCACAGAGGAAAAAAGGCCAGACAGTAAACCTGCAATAGGCCATGCATTTATTTAGATAAGTCGTTTTCATTTTAATACTTTAAAACATCTAATTGTGTGCCTTCCCAGCAATGCTGAAGCTGCCAAAATGACTCCATTGTCTTTGACAGATGACACACAGTAAAAAGCCATAAACTGTTGTTGATGATGAGAAGCTCCTTGACTTTTATGTTTCCTCGCCAGATATTATTTTCACAGTTGTCGAAAAGCTGGGGTGTTTGCACAGGAAGTGGCAACACAAACGATGCAAATGTCGTGACAAGGATGCAGTGAAACTGTGAACTCCCGTGAACTCAGTCGGAGTCCTGCGGCAGTCTGGCCGAGTGTTGTGGACAGAGCGAAGCACAGCTGCCAGCATTTTTTAAGAACAAGGTTTCAATCGCAGAGCAAGCTGGCAACCCTCTTACGGGAATACTTCTCTCTAATTAGACAGAGCACATTCACTGGGACCTGAATGGAAACAAGGCAGAGTTTTGTTGGGAAACTGACTTCTCTAACTTCTGATTGTGTTTCTCCATGGTAGATAATCTAAAATTCACCACTGATAATCACATCTCCCACTCTGTAAACGTATATGTTCAGGCTTGCAGACATCCTCTCACTGCCTCACCCTGTTTTTTCCAGCTCCCAAACACAGAACCCCTCTTTTAGTTTTAATCCTCTTCCATATGAACCACAATGACTCATCCTCATGCGGATGAAACTGTGTCGTCGTTTCACATTTTCTTATTGAGTGCATTCTTCAGTCTGGACCTCAAACTGCCTTTTGAGAAGCGTCTTTGATTCTGCACAGGTGCTGTCTCATATCCCACCAAAAAAGACTTCAACATATAACTGAAGCCTTTGTGAGCGATGCATACTGCAGGACTAATAAATAGGTTACTAATTTTGTTTAAGCACAGCTGCTGTGCAAAAGATTGATATGACAAGTGAGGGGGAGGGGTCTCAGTTAATCATAGCTTGCAGCTAATCGGAGGGTCTGGTACTTTATTTTTAGCATCACTGATGCTGCGGATCTGGATGCTGATGGAATGATGGTTTCATGGACTGATTGTCATGAGATACTGTCAAGACATTAATGTTCCACAGGGAGGAATCCTGCAAACACAACTCAGATAATTGCTAGCTTGAGTGAAACGTTCAGATTGGATTAGCTAAAGACTTTTTACATTTGTATTTAGTGGTGTTAAATATATTTTTTAAAGTGTCACTACAAATCTTAAATGTTGTAGTAACTATGGGTAAATGTAAGAAGCTACATTAAAATGCTAAGTAGAGTTCCTGTTTCTGTCCTTATAAAATGTGGAGAAATTTGAACATTGAGGCTTTTGATTAAATAAAAAAGTTTTTGATAATAGAAATAACAAACATTAGGTAGGCCGTTACAGCACAGTGATACGACATATTGATGTCATTACATAAAGCAGTATTATGACATTATGAGGAACCATCTAAATACCTTAATCAAACTAGCATTTCAGGTTTTAAACAAATATTTTGCACAATCTGTTATCCCTTGGAGTTTGTGATGGGAATGTTCTCCAGCTACTACCAAACTGTAGCTCAGTATCTGTAAAAATAATGAAGTTATAGCTGTGGTGGCCATCTTGAATCTGATTATCTGAAAATGTACATCCATTTATTACTCTGTGAGTTTAATTAAAATATGTCCAATGGTTCATGAGATATTTTGCTAACAGACAGAGAAATGAATGCACACATGCACACATGAGCAATTGCAACATCACCCACCTTTCATGGCAGTAGCCAATAAAAGGCTGGGTTATTTTATTTTCAATAATTAAGATTTATTTATTTGAACAAATTTTGGTCACATGTTATCACTATTAAATGCTTGAATTTGTTTTGAACTATTTATTAATGAATGCCTCACTCCTCAGACGAAGCACGCCAGCATGAAGGAATTCAGGCTGCACCAGAGCTACTCCACCCTGTAGTCACTCAAACGTTCAAAAAGACTATTCATGAGCGATGTTTGTTGTGTTTGTTAAGGCCTGTGCTCCATTCTTCCTTGTAGTTTTTATTGAATCAGTGAAGACAACAAAAGAGGAAGAAGACAAAAGAGTGAAAGTAGAGGAGGGGAGCAGGCTGATACCACTCGTTCATGGGTGGCTTTGTAATCAGAGATGAGAGTATTATTCCACAAAAGTACCATGAACCCATATGGTGGGCCTCAGGGGGATTGGACACAGCCGTAACCGACCCACCTCTGTGCTCTGTGTTGCAGATGGGAGGAGGAGCTGTCAAAGCGAGAGCAGCTGGAGTCCAGGGTGGAATCCCTGCAGCAGGTTTGGAAACAAAAAATTGTCCTGAAAACACAGAGATTTCTATTATCTGGCAAAACAGAACTCACCACATAAAAACAAGTAGCAAAAATGTAATAAAGAAGTTACATACAGTGCACACTGAAAGCACAATCTGAGCAGAGCTGGAGTAAAAACCGCCAGAAGCTTGTGTCAGATCAGATTAAACGTATTAAAAACCCATCAGAAGAGGCTGCAGAACAAAATACACTGTAGATACGAACATCAAACATCACCAGCAGTCGACCATTATCTTTCAGCTCAGAGCAGGCAACAAAATATGGTACAGTGTGACACCGTAAAGCTCTCCCACAGTATAAATCCCTGCTGGGATGACTAGTGCCTGGTCCTGTCGGCATCTCTCTCTTTTTGTTTTTGCACATATCGATTTGTGACAGCATGTGTGTGTTTGTCTTGGACTCTGGGTCAGCAAAACACCAGATAGAGAGGTGGAGTGCCCACCACTCCCCTGAGGGTTTAACCTTGCAGAGCAAACAGGCAGAAATCTGCTCAAACTAAATTCAGCTCAAAATGCCATTTGTTTCGAGAGCAGAGAGGACTGATGCTGTGTGCTAACGTAAAACAGCAGCATAACTGGCATGTCTTTAGATGCAGTGGCTCCCAACCCTGGTCCTTGAGGAACGCCACCCTGCATGTTTTAGTTGTTTCCCTGCTCCAACACACCATATTTGGTGATTTAATTACTTCCTCGTGTTCTGCAGAAGCCTGTCAATTACACATTAATTAAAACCAGGTGTGTCGGAGCAGAAAAACAACAAAACATGCAGGATGGTGTTCCTCAAGGATCAGGGTTGGGATCCCCTGCTTTTGAGGGACTCTACAAAAGCTCATATAACACTGATTTCTGTTTAAAACAAAACAAAAAACAAAAAAAAAAACCATTAACATTACTTAGCTATTGTTTGTTTAAATGTCTGTCTGATAAAAAAAAAAAATTGTGGGAAGACAAGCTTCTACAGCAGTGTATGAGAAAGGCCTCATAAAAAGCAGTGAGACATTTTAAAACGAGGGGAAACAATGAATAGCAAAAAGGTAGAACTAAAATTAAAAAATATATATATTTTACATATTTTCTGATGCATGCTCAACAATCCAGGTAGAAAAAAACAAAAAAAGTTAAATCTGGTCCTCTGGACATTCCAAAAAAAAAAGGAAAAAAAGCAAAACAACAAAAAAATGTAGAAATGTTTCAGAAATGTTTCGTCTTTTATCCGAAAGACTTCTTCCGGATGAAAGACGAAACGTTTCAATTTTTTTTGTTGTTTTTCTTTTTTTTTCTTTTTTTTTTTGAATGTCCAGAGGACCAGATTTAACTTTTTTAGAATTTTACTTAGTTGTTTTACTGTGAAATGACCCAAAAAAAAAAAAAAAACTTTCTACAATTTTAGACTTTTTTACTGAGTTATCTGCAGCAGGTAAGCTACTGAGTGTTCAGAATATTTTTCAATGGTCCCCTTTTAAAAGACCTGAACTATCTCTTTAAGTTTGTATCAACTTATCCGGTAAATATGTTTGAATCGTGTCGATATGACAAAGTATAAGTGCATGTCTCTAGATAAAGCTGTGATATTTTAATGAAATAACGACGTTTTAGTTCAACCTGTAACATGGATGGGCACAAAAAGCATACCTTAATGTTTGTCATGATTAAAGCGCACACATAATTTGCATAAAGTTTGGTAATCACAGATCATTGTGTACTTTCTAATAAGTTGTTTTGATTCTTTCACTGTGACGTTTGTTCAGAGCGCCCGGGAGTCGTCAGAGATCCAGGATGAGCTGAACGAGAAGGTGGACAGACTAAAGGCTGAGCTTGTGGTCTTCAAGAGTCTGATGAGTGACGTAAGTATTTGTTCAGTGATGTCATCGTCACCTCCTCAAGTTCAATAAAGATTTCTTTTCATAAGTCGTGTTAACTTCCAAACCTAAAGACGTTTGCACATGTTCCAACAGCAAAATGGTTTTCCTAAGAATGATCTCAATAAAAGTTTCCATTTATTTTAGCCTAAATGGCAACACGCCCTTCCTTCCCTCGTTGTTAGAACTCATAAAGATAAGTAATGCCACAAAGCCTCCAACAAGCACTGAAAATGGCTCAAACAGCAGCTTTAGATCCAGATCCTTCCTGTTCTGAGCAGCCCTGTATTGTTCCTTGGCAGGTGTGTTCAGCTGTGAAATCCCACTCACAGCTTGTGCTTGATCAGGGAGAAATGAATGGACATTATTATGTGGCGTTGCTGTTTTTTTACCCTGTTTATCTTCACTTTAGTACCTGTTCAATGTTAAACTTTGATCAATATTCTTTTGCTTTTTTGTTTCATTCATATGTGGATGCAGAAACGGGTAAGTGACACAGAATCAGAGGCTTGTTTAGGTGATAAATGTCACTTAATGCTTTTTAAAAGTTAGCCAGCATCTGTATTGTGGCTGTGGACGTGTCTTTGAATGTGGTGATTAACCTGTCATTGCACAGCAAAAGGTCCGCTAGTTAGAACTTCACATCTGCCCCTAAAAACATCCCCACAATCTATAAATTTTGCACATTTATAAGGGTGAAAGAGGATGCACATGTGTCATGTAAGACTGGGAGAAACATGTTCAAACTGACAGAGAATAACAGGCTTACTGCTTAAATTAGCGAACACAAAATTTCTCAAGGATCAATAATAATAAAAATCTGTGTATATCAAAATGAATCACAGTCGCATCACAACTAATTCACATAAAATGACAATTTTCAGGAGTAGTCAAGATATATCATCTCACTTTTCAGATGTTGGGAAACGCAAAAGAGGAAGAATAAAGATTGATAATCTGAATAAAGTTAGTATTTCAAGTTAGAAATATATATATGTATTGATATATATTGAAAGTCTGTTGTTGTTTTTCTCTGTCAAAGCAGATTTAAAGTTTTATTTTTAGGTGCACCTGGAAAATAAAAGCCTTTTAAATCTTAAATTTATTTATTATCACCAAAAAATAATCTGGGAAAAAAGGCCACAGCAATATATAAATGAAATGCTAACTTAAGATAAACAAAACGCCTACACCCAGGACAATTTTTCTGTTTATTTATACAAAATTGTTTCATAGAAACATATTTAAATGTACACCTGCCTACATGTGCATTTACACACACATCTACAGAATATGCACAGCCTTCAGAATACAAATATAAAGTTTTAAATGCACAGTGGAGGTAGATATCACCAATAACAGTGCACCGATGTGCAGAAAATCATCTTAACAGCTCTCCATCTCTTCACAGCAAATGTCTGACCTGGACTCCAAGATCCAGGAGAAAGCCAGGCGAGTGGACATGGACATCTGCAGGCGCATCGACATCACGGCCAAACTGTGTGACGTAGCACAGCAACGCAACTCAGAGGACATGTCCAAAATGTTCAATGTCAGCCCTGCCAGGTCACTCCCAGATAAGGTGTGTCTCTACTTTGACTCTATGGGGTGTTTAGCTGCATTCATGATAAAATCAGACCGTAAAAGCTGAAAAAAATAATATGCAGCCATCTATGGAAGAAGCATCTTACTCAAATGAAATCAGAGCTACCAGATGCACATGGTGTGGCAACTGGTAGGCATTAGCTAATCATGCACCTGACTGACCCTCTGTAAATGGTCCATGTATGCTCCAGAATGCATTTACAAACATATAAACATTGGCATCCATATAAATGTACGGTACAGGCACATGCACACAGAAGAAAGTCAACTGCTGACGTGGCATCTTTTCCTTTCTCACAAGGTTATCAGTCCTTGCTGGCTGAAGCCCGGGTTTATAAATCAACTGAATGAAACTCTGACATGTTTCATACGTTTTTATCTCCTATGAAAATTGTCACACATGTATTGATCTGAAGATATATCGTACATAAAAACCTGAGCTCTGCAGGTTAAACATGACATCTCATCAGACAAGGGTCCATTTTGTCAAGTTTTATCTTGAATGAGCTTTTGACATGATGAAAATGATTCGATCTGACTAAGCTGCAGTTTATTTGAACTTATTTGTGTGTGGTTTTGCAGGGGACTGTGGTATGCTGCAGGAGAAAAGAGCGTAAAGGCGTGTCCGATGAGGAGAATTCAGAGATGGATGCCGAGCCGAGCACTTCGGAGGAGGAGGTTCCTGGGTCGCTCAACATCACGGACGAGATGAAACGAATGCTCAACCAGCTGTAAGTGACAGCTCCTTCAGCAATACTGCTTATCCACCAGAATGAATTTCTCTGTACTCTGAATGACTCTGGATTCTTTGTTACTTCACCCCCTCTGCTGTTTAGATGAAAAGTTGCAAGTAACTGGAGGCACGCTGTTTCGATCTTATATAAAGATTAAGAAATTTAATCACTAATGCTTCTTCCTTCTTGCATGTGGCCCTTTGCTCAATCTGGTGGCTGTTATACTGTCCCCCCTCTTCCTCCCCCTTGTCTCTTTTTGCCCTCTGTCCTACACAGACATTGTTCAGATAACTCCTTTGTTGCCAGGCGCGAGACGTTTGAAATTGACGATGATTGCGACAGTCTGACGTGGGAGGAAAACGAGGAGACTCTGTTGCTGTGGGAGGACTTCACAAATTACAACGTGCCGTGCACCATCACCACAAGGACCTGCACAACCGCCTGCCCCAGCGATGGCAGCGGAGAAGTTGTTGAGCCAGTAATTAAAAAAAACTTTGACAGTATTAATTATATATATTCACTTTTTCCCATTTTATTATGTTACAGCCTTATTCCAAATTGTATTAAATTAATCTATTTCCTTGAAATTCGACACAATGAAAAAATATTTTTTTGAGATTTTTTCTAATTTATTAAAAATAGAAAACTAAGAATTCACATGTACACAAGTATTCACAGCCTTTGCTTAATTCTTTGTTGATCCACATTTGGCAGCAATTAGAGCCTCAAGTCTTTTTGAAAATGATGCTTCAGCTTAGCACACCTGTCTTTAGACAGATTGTCCCATTCTTCTTTGCAGTACTTCTCAAGCTCCATCAGGTTGGATGGGAGACGTCTGTGCAGCCATTTTCAGATATCTCCAGATGTTCAATTTGATTCTAGTCTGGATTCTGGCTTGGCCCCTCCAGGACCTTCACAGAGAGGTCCTGAAGCCCCTCTGAGATCTTGGTCATGTGCTTTGGGTCGTTGTCCTGCTGAGAAATTAACTGTCACCCCAGTCTGAGGTCAAGAGCTCTCTGGAGCAGGTTTCCATCCAGGATGTCTCTGTACATTGCTGCATTCATCTTTCCCTCTATCATGACTAGTCTGACAGTTCCTGCTGCTGAAAAACATCTGCATAGCATGATGCTGCCACCACCATGCTTCACAGTATAGATGGTATTGACCTGGTGATGAGCCGTGCCTGGTTTCTTCCAAATATGACGCCTGTCATTTTCACCAAAGAGTTCAGTCTTTGTCTCATCAGATCAGAGCATTTTGTTTCTCGTGGTCTGAGAATCCTTCAGGTTCTTTTTGTCAAGATGAGCTGCCATGTGCCTTTTATTAAGGAGTGGTTTTCATCTGGCCACTTTACCATACAGGCCTGATTGGTGGATTGCTGCAGAGATGGTTGTCCTTCTGGAATGTTCTCCTCCCTCCACAGAGGAACACTTGAGCTCTGACAGAGTGACCATCAGGTTCTTGGTCACCTCCCTGACTACGGCCCTTCTCTAATCGTTCAGTTTAGACCACAGCCAGTTCTAAGAAGAGACCTGGTGGTTCCAGACTTCTTCCATTGATGAATGATGGAAGTCACTGGGCTCACTGGGACCTTCAAAGCAGCAGAAATGTTTCTGTATCCTTCACCAGATTTGTGCCTCAACACATTCTTGTCTCAGAGGTCTACAGTCAGTTCCTTTGACTCCATGCTTGGTGTTTGTGCTCTGACCTGCACCGTCAACTGTGGGACTTTATATAGACAGGTGTGTGTCTTTCATAATCAAGTCCAATAAGTGAATTTACCACAGGTGGGCTCCATTTAACTTGTAGAAACATCTCAAAGATGATCACAGTATGCATCTGAGCGTATGAGCTCAATTTTGAGTTTCATGGCAAAAGCTGTAAATATTTAAGTAAATGCGATTTCTTAGTTTTCTATTTTTGTAAAATTTTCAAAAATCTAAAAAAATATTTTTTCGCATTGTCATAATGGGATATTGTGTGTAGAATTTTGAGGAAAGTGATTAATTTAATAAAATTTGGAATAAGGTTGTCACACACACATACACGTCCTGGATTAACCCTGCTAAATCAGAGTGTAAATTATTGCTATGAATGCAGTGTAAGACATAAAGTCATGCATGATGAATGAGCTCTGTCTGTGCTCTCTAAGGATTCCCAGGATGGAAGTCTTGGCAGCCTCATTGATGAAACAGAGTCAATATTTAGGAACCGAGAGCAGAAGTACCAGGAGACCATCGGCCAGATCGAGGTACATGGATCTGTGAAGGATTTTTAAATGTAAAAAAACCCCAAAAACTGCTTGGATACAGAACAACAAAAGCAAAATTAACAAACATTAAGTCCAGCAAATATTTCAGTTAATTAGTATTATTTACATTATTTTTTTATACTTAAAATGTTCCCATTTTAAAACAAACACTACCAGCCCCAGGTTTCTTTAACTGATACATCCTTACCAGTCAGCCATTTAACAGTAGCCTTTTAGTCAGCGAAGTTTTAAAACTTAAGGTTTTTTTTCAGGAGGAGAAAGAATAGTGAAGTAAGCCACACCCTGAAAAAAGGCATTCAGGCATTAGGATCAATATCCTCTCCAGCTGCATCTGAGAGTGTATGAAAACTTTCTCTTCATGGAGAGACCGCTCTAAAACGAGTGGGAGTAATTTGTTGTGGTCTTTCAGCGTCTTTCACACAGAGATGACAGTTAACTGGTTTTTAACCTTGCTAAACAAAATTTAAACTAATTTATATATTTTTTACTTCTCCATGGAATGCCAAAAAGTTTTTGGGCACACATTTATGGTGCGCAAAAAGTATTTATAAGATTTGTATAAATATGCCAATTATTTTGGACAAGATCCTGGTGTCTAAAGCGTTCTGGGTTTGAATAGCAGTGACTGGTCACAGTCATGCAGGCTTGTGTTGCATGCAGGTACACAAATAGTTTATCTGGAGAGGAATGGAAACACAACTGATAAAAAGATTACCGTATTTTTTGGCCTATAAGTTGCAGGGTTTTTTATGTGCATAATTTACACGCCCTGCGACTTATGCATCAAAGCGACTTATTTAGTTTTTTTCCCATATTTTTAAACCAATTTTTGGCTGAGATATGACCGTTTTCATTTATTCTGACAATGAAAATATTGAACACTACCATTTTCAGCCGCTAGATGTCACTCGAGTAGTATGGCATGCCATTGTGTCATATAATAGGTAAAAGTGGCTATTAATGACACAATTGGCTTGCCATACAGAGCCACCTTTGTCTTGCTCTGGAACTCCTGGAGCAAACATCCGAGTCAGTTTCATTTTGCTGCACCGCCCCAGCGAAATGCAGCTAATTTGACCATTGAAGTGCATTTATTAAGAAAACGTTCAACTGAGACACACCTTTAATATAATGTCGAGCAAACAAATAATTGTTTTAGGTGCTTATCTTGTTAAATTTCAAAGAAATGCACAGCGTTCCTCCTTCCTGATTTCCTCCCTTTGCGCGCTCCCGGGGCACCGAGGCAGCGAATACTTTTGAAATGCAGCTGATTTGACTGTTAAAGTCCTGAGACACATCTTTACTATAATATTGAGCAAACAAATAATTGTTTTTAGGTGGTTGTCTTGTTAAATTTCGAAGTCGTCCCTCTGCGCACTTCCACAAATCGGGTTTTAAAATTCAGCTGATTTGACCGTCAAAGTGCATTTATTAAGGAAAATTTCAACTGAGACACACCTTTACTATAATTTTGAGCAAACAAATAATTGTTTTTAAGTGTTAATCTTGTTAAAGTGACACTTAGCAAATGTGACGCGTCACCGGTGATGCATAATAGATGCGACTTATACGGCAAAGCAACATATTTATGGTTTTTTTCCACTTAATTAGACATATTTGGACTGATGCGAGTTAAAAGGCAGTGTGATGTGTACGGCAAAAAATATGGTATTTTAGCTTGTTCCCAATGTGTTGCTAACTGATCAATAAACTGCAGAAAATGTTAAAAATATTCATAGTTCCCAGCAGATACATTTTGTCCTCACATTCAGCTTTGCTTTGTCTTTTTTGCCTGCTCATGGTAAACCTTGTAGATGCTCGGAGGTCTATTTTTTGTACTCGCCAAGCAACTGAACTGAGAAGGGACTTTTAAGAACGTCTGATAAACTGCTTGCTCTTACCAACTTGACGCCTTTTAATCCATTTATATATTCAGATGGAACTGGCAACAGCAAAGAGCGACATGAACCGCCATCTGCACGAGTACATGGAGATGTGCAGCATGAAAAGAGGCCTTGACGTGCAGATGGAGACCTGTCGGCGGATGATTAAAGGTGGCAGGAACTCTCCTTCTTTCAGCTCAGCGGCTAGCAGTGACTCAGGGAACACAGACGAGATCCAGGACGAGATCTTGGACAAGGACGCAGAAGCTGAAATCCCAGTTAGTTGATGGCCGCACAGCTGGGCTTTGTCCCATCTCCTCCTGTTCGCTCGTCATAATCAGTGATTGGGGTTTAAAAGCGTAGTGTTTACCTGGCAGGAGGTGAAACAACCTAAATCCGAGTCTGCTTGACCAAGTTCCGGTGCAGGCTCAGAGCTGGTGCTTTTATACTACTTCTGTTGTTTATAAAGCGGTGGCGGGGGTGTCTTTGCTTTATAAAGAGAAGGGGAGTAAAGGCAGACGCCAAGCTGTGCTCTCTTCCTCACCGTTGCCTCAGTGGATTCTGATCCAGGGCTTTGCATCATTTTCTTGAGGTGAAACAAACAAACAAAAATAAAGCCTCAATATATTTTAAACAGGCTCAGAAAATCTTTTCTATCTATTAAGATCCTTTTTTTCTAAAGGAATTGAATACAGTACATATTGTACTCCCCTATTCACTAAAATCACAAAAAAAACACATCTTTTATTTTAGATTGGAAATTGTTGGTCCCCCTGCCCCGCTCTTCTTTGTGTTATTTTAGTTTCAGGTGTGGTATTTGTAGTCCAAATTAAAGTGTTTGGGTTTAAGTGTCTTGTGTCAAGGAGACAAAGAGGAGTAGAGACGAATGGTGTTCCAGTTCTGGTGGTTTCTGAGGGAACTCTGCAGGCTCGCCAAAGTTGACAGAGGAAGGAGCACAGCCTTTTCATGCACTGGTGCACTCAAGTTCTATGCAATTTAGCTGGCCTTATTTTTTGTACTGGCTGCCACCATTTGTAGCTTCTCTCACAACCATTACTTTAGTAAAGCAGATGTTTTTATTTGTTTTTGTGATCTTTGTTAGGGACGTTAACTGGATCAGTATCCCCATTACAGTAATTTATGGTAATGCTTCTGTTTGCAGCTAGAGGAGGCCAATGCAAACCTCACTCATGTCTTGTGCCGATACGTTTTACATGTTAACTCTCATAATTTGAAAACTGACAAGTTGCATTATAACAACCATCAAAGCTGAACTATTTTAAAATGTTCGTGCAAAACCAAAGGTCATATTTTAAAATGTTTTTGGTTTTTTTGGTTCATAGTAATAGTCAGATTAGTTAATCGATGTTATTCTAAGCCATACATGTCTTAGAAGTGTGGTTTCAGTATGACTTCCTGTAATTCTGATTCTACATCCTGTCCTGATGTCCCAAAGAGGGCTTGGCTCCAGACAGATTTCACTCCGTGCTTTGTTTCTGCTGAAAGGAGCTAGAAATATTAGAATGTACATAGACGTTTGAAGGCATGTGATTGTTTTACTCCAGAGGCCTTTTCTTTTTCATAGATCTGTCTAGACAGAGAACTTTTCTGTTCAGCACAGAAAGTGATTAACTTGTGGACGGAATTAATCACTTTTCAAACCACTTTTTTATTTTTTAAATACAATGTGTGTGCAGTTTTGAATCGAAGATTAAGTGCTACTTCTATCGTGAAGTTTTTCAGAAGCAGAATGTTGAATTTCTAGCCTTGTGCTTTTTACGCATGCTGGAGGAAAAAAATAAGGGAGCTATGCATCTTTGTTTTCAATACTTTTATTTTAAACTAAAAAAAAAAGCTGCAATACAGACTCTGTCACATCTATTTTAACCATTGCATAACTGGGAGAAAGTGTGCTTTTCAAAGATTTTACTCAGACTGTGTTAACTAATAAACTGTGTTGCCATATTTAATTATTTTTAATGTATACAGATTTACATTTGTTCCAGATCTTAGGTCTTTTCTCGACTTTAACAGTAACTTAATTGTTAAAATAGAGGAGTGGGAGCTGTGGAGAAAATGTCAAACTTTTTCATTACGTTGATATAAAACCAGCCTAATAAATAATTAAGAGCCATTCTTTTATTGGTACTGTACTTTGTATTGGCTGTGTCACACATAATTTAACGACTGTAACATTCAGAGACAGCAGGTCCTCTGTCTTTCACAGTTTTCTTGACTATCACACTAACCAGCCAACCAACAGAAACATGTACAGTAACATCATGAATCCTACTAATTCACTCTTAGCCTACATGCCTACCACACAGGGTTTTCAACTTCAGTAACGTCTGCAGCCTACTGAATTATCTCCACTTTCCCATCACTTGAAGCAGGTTCCAGGTTTTCTGTTAAAAGGTACCACTTTACAATAAGGCTCCCCTTATAGATGGCTAATATATAGATGCATTATTAATTCCTCTATAAACACTTATCATTAATAACTGCTTATTATGCAATAAGTGTGACAGAGAGACAAAACTGACCAGTTTGTTGCCAAATAGTGAACCAAATCTTTTCACCTATATATTTCATCTAGTTGTTGTATTAAACATTTCAGACTAAGTCTAAAAAAGTTAAATCTGGTCCTCTGGACATTCAAAAAAAACAAAACAAATGAATGAATGTCCAGAGGACCAGATTTAACTTTTTTAGATTTTTCTACCTGGATTATTGAGCATGCATCAGGATATTTCAGACTAAGTTACTACCTTGTAAGCACAATAACCATTTGTAAACCTATTTTTTTAGGATATTAGTTGTAGATACTTATAATGTAGAAAGTACAATATTATATGCTAAAGAAATAGGTTTACAAATGCTCATTGTGCTACAAGGTAATAACTTAGTCTGAAATGTTTAAAATAACAACTCTAGATGAAATATATAGGTGAACAGATTTGGCTCGATATTTACAAGAAACTAGTCAGTTTTGTCACTCTGTCACCCTTAATTAATGCATATTAAGCAGTTATTAATCATTTATAAAGTCGTTATAAAGGAATTCATAACGTTATCTATAAACTGTTCATAACGTTATCTATAAACTGTTTATTAGCCATCAATAAGGGGAGCCGTATTGTAAAGTGGTACCAAAAATGTTTTAGCCGCTCAGTTTGTTGAATGTAGACTACCGGTAATTTGAGGAACCCTCTAAAGACTCAAAATAAAAACTTGTGCAAAATAACATTTAGCTGTTAAAATGCAGGAAGTGTGTGGTTACCTTCTGTTGCTTTACTAAAATCTCAACCTGACCAACTTATGGTGCGTGATGGACATGTATGTAAACTAGATCCTAATGGATGTGAATGTGTCTTGTTTAAAATGGGGGTTTATATGGGCAGGGTTATTTTTTAAATCTTTGACACATGGGAGGGATTGTAGGTTTGTGTTTGTTTTGTCCATTTGTTTAACACAATCTGCATTTTTTTCCCCATTGTATCTTATAATTTTATGACTATAACACTTTTTGGTGAAAAGCTGCTTAACTCGATGAGAAACTACTTTATTGTTCTTGATGTGCCTCACAGGTAGCATCATTTTGTTTTAAAGTGGCTGTTTTATCTCTTTTGATTTAAGTTTTTTTCCCTCTTTCTTAGTTTTGTATTTTATTATCATCACTCGTGTTAAAACTATTTATACAATGTATTTAAGTTGGTGTTGGGCAGTCTTGGTTTTACATGTACTCAACTGATTTGGGGGTAAAATTAAATAAAATGGTAGACTGGTTAAAATGTTATCTTGTCTTACTATTATTTTTTCCTTTCTTGTACATTTTTAACATCTGCAGCTGAAGGCAAAAGCAGAGCAATAATGTAGGTTTTTTTTTTTGAGCGACTGTTCGTATAGTTAAAATATCTCACAAATCACTGAACTGTAACTAAACATTTTACAGACACTGAGCATAAAAATCTGACGTGGCAGTAGTTAAGCATCACCTACACACCAAGTGCAACACATTCTGTGACATCTGCTTAAAACCATGGCATTTATAGTTAACCCTGTTTTTGTGTTAGCAAAATATCTTATGACTCACAAGATGAATTTCAGTTAAACTCAGAAAATACTTGGGGGTACATTTACAACTAACTTTAAGACTTAACATAATTTAAAATGGCCTCCATAGCTTTACAACCTTAACTTACACACATATTACTTCATATTACAATAGTATTTTCAAGTTTTCACCAAAATACTTATAAATCAGTCATTTTTCAACATAAGATGATCTTAGTTCAAGATTTTTTATTGTCATTTTCATCACATGTCCATGGTACATGAGGTGGAATGAAACTGTGTACACAACTTGATCTAAAACTCTGGCATGAAATGTGGCAGGCAACATGCATTCAATTAAGAAATGGCAGGCCTTTCATTTTGTTTATCCCCAGCTGCTCCCTAGCTAGCAAACTTGTATGAAACATTTGGTAATCGTTTTATGCTGGATGCCCCGTTTCAAACCTGCAGCCTCAGAGTTACAAGTCTGTGTCACTGTCGTAGCCCCAGGCCGTTGATTTAATAACATTTTTATTTTATTTCCTTCTGAAATGCAGTTATTTCTAGAAATCCATCCAATCATCATCTTCCGCTTGTTCCAAAGTCGGGTCGCGGGGGCAGCAGCTTGAGCAGGGAGGCCCAGACATCTCTTTCCACAGCCACCATGTCCAGTTCTTCTGGGACAATTCCAAGGCGTTCCCAGGCCAACCGAGACAGTCTCTCCAGCGTGTCCTGGGTCTTCACCGGGGTCTCCTCCCAGTCAGACATGCTCAAAGCACCTCCATAGGGAGGTGCTCAGGTAGTATACTTACCAGATGCCCAAACCACCTCAACTGGCTCCTCTCGATGTGGAGGAGGAGCGGTTCTACTCTGAGTCTCTCACGAGTAACCGATGGGAGAGTCCAGCTACTCTGCAGAGAACTCATTTTAACCGTCTGTACCTGCGATCTCATTCTTTCTGTCACTACTCAGAGCTTGCGACCATAGGTGAGGGCAGGAACGCAGACTGACCAGTAAACAGACAGTTTGCCTTACAGCTCAGCTCGCTCTTCACCACAACGGACCGACACAGAGTCTGCAATACTGCAGATGCTGCACCAATCCATCTGTCAATCTCACGCTCCATTCTTCCCTCACTTGTGAACAAAACCCCGAGATACTTGAACTCCTCCTCCTTTCTAGAAAGCAACAACAGTAATAACATATCACTGATTTGCCACACGGTTATTTTTTTTTTTTTTCAACCAAAAAGTAAAAAAAAAAAAAAAAAAAAAAAAAAAATTGTATTAAATGGTACTGTTTATTATGAAATTTATTGAAATAAAAACAAATTGAAAAACATGCAAAGTATTTTTATGTCAAAACACATGCAAATGTTTTAGTATATGAAAAATGCAGACACAAACAACTCCTATATAAAGATATATTTAATAAAACTTTTAAAAGTTCATCTTGCTCTAAATTTCAAGTTTACCGCTCTTTTAAAAAAAAAAAAACTCACTTTAGTAAGTAGAAGCATCAAGGATGTTTGAAGCTCAAAGAACAACAAACAATAGTTTTGGTTTTAAACTGTCAGAACATTCTAAAAATGAGTGGGTGAGGAAATATTAAAAGCTACTAAACAACAGAGCAGATTCTTCACCAGGACGTTAATAGCAAGGATGAAAAGATGTTTGTACAAATTTTCCACTTTTCCATCGGTACTACTTTCACCCTTCTACCTCAAGAAACACGATTCTCTTGGCCACGCTCTCCTCACCGTATTTGTCCTGCAGCTTCTGATGAACAGCAGGATCTGATGAGAGCAAAAGACTGTCGTCACAGCGATTCCAAATTGGTGCGGATACAAGGGAAGGATTCAAGAGCAGGTCCAGAGCAGCAGAGAAGTCTCCACTGGTCTTTAACAAGGCTTTGGTCACACTAACCAAGTCCTAAAGAAAAAACAAACACATTCTGTATATTCATGTGATACGGACAGATAGAAAGGAAAAACAACACATTGTCAGTGTTTCTACCATTACTGTCTGATTTAGTTTCTTGACAGAAATATTCAGTCATAGTAAAACTAATTAAGAGCAGTTAGGAAACAAAATCAACATGAACAAGTTACTAAAAATACGTTACAACAAAACAATGAAAGCACAGCTCCAAACCTGCAGCGCTCACCTGGTTTGTCTGGTTCATTAGATCTCTGATTCGCTGCTTGTCTTCCTCTAACTGTGACTGAGTCAGAGAAAATGCAGCATCTTTGTCCACTGTGGGCTGTGGGTTGGATGGAGCGGCCAAACAATCCACAAAAACAGACTGAGAGTCTTCTTCCTGAGATTCATTGTCAAATATAAACAGGTGGGCCTTTGAGGTCGCAGCGACAGGCTCAGAACCAGCTAACATGGCGGGTGCAGCGTTGGGGAAGTCTTTGTCTGGTATACAGTTGTCACTCAAGGCCTGAGACTCTGGCAGGTTCTCCTGTGGGCCCGGTCCAGTTTCAGGGTTAGATTGTGCAGAAGTAGGTTCTCCAGTTGTGGCTGAAAGTTTTGGTTGAGATTCTGTCAACGCAGCTGCTGTTTCAGAACAGTGTTGGAGCTCTGGAGCTTCATCTTCATCACACTATGACATAAAAATATTAAATTTGGTTATTTAACACTGTTGTACAACGTATGTACAGGTACCGGTATACACGGAACGGACATGTAACAGTGAAAACTTGGAAGAATTTGAATAAAAGCAATTAAAAAATTTAGGATCAGAGAATGGTAAAAAAAACAAAAAAAACATGCAAAAATGTACAGATTAAAGCAGCAAATAGCTTACAGACCTTTTTCCAAGAGAAACATATTGTATATTCAAAAAGACCATCTTTATTTATTGTCACTGCACTACAGACTAGGTCTGTCACAATAACAAATTTTGCTGGGTGATTAATTATCTCAGAAATTATTGCGATAAATGATAATATTGTTTGAAATTTGACAATAATTAGTAATCTTAGTCAAATTTAAGAAGAAATGTTTGTTAATTTTGAGTGTAGAACCTTTTTTCGACCACCAGATGGCAGTATAAGACTGTTTGAACAAAGAATGGATAGTGAGGGAGCGAGCAGCGTGTCTCTTTAAGAAAAATAGGAGGGAGGCCCCTTGACATGACATGAGCTGTTTCTCCTTCCTTTTATTCACTTCTCAAAATCTCAGATGCTTGGTGTGGTTGGTTAGCATAGCATTTTTCACACAAAGCTTTTAATAATAAAATCACTAAACAAGTTCTCAGTTTCTTTGTGCAGAGGAAAAACAACTTTTTACACGAAGGCACAAGTTTCAACCATGAATTTTGGAGCTTCGACAAGACGGAGGTTTTTCCACGAGTTTGGCATGTTAGCTTAGCTCGTAGCTTAGCTTCTCAGCTTAGCTGCTTTTAACGATCCAAAACACGATTTTGGATGGTTACATTGGATTTTAAAAAGAAAAAGGAAAGGGAGGGCTCAGTGAGGATCACCGGCGTTGAGCCTTTTGTCATCCAATGTCTTCAGTTGAAAGAGAGACACGAAGAAACGATAAGCCAATAAATGAAAATGAGGTTGATAATTTTCATTTATCATGTGATTAATTGATTTATTGTTTATCGCAACAGGCCTACTACAGATTCTCACTTTTTAAGAGAAGTAATTTAAAACTAAATGGTACAGCATTCTTTTAAAAATAACCTTATTATTAGTAGTTTAATATGGTACAAGTTACCTTATCATGATTAAAAGTATAGATTCTGAAAGAATTATTAGCGATCTTACCTCAGATTCATCTTCAAACTCCTTCGTTGCCAGTTCAAGAATACCCAGCTGCCTTTTCTCTTTCTTCTTCTCCATTTTTTGTGGTGCTGAATTAGACTCATCTTGAAAAAAAAAAAAAAAAAAAGGGAGAAGACATATTAACCAGCCTGATGGAGCATTTATTGAAGTATCTGTAGTGGAAAATATTTTTCACTAGTATATCTATGACAAACCAGCTTGTATTGCTTTAGCGTTGGTATCATGTCCACTCTGCTCCGGCGGACTCTCTGCTTCTGCTGCCATCGTCTTTCCTCTGGCTCTTTTTGGAGGTGGTTGTTCAGGTGACACGTCATGATGAACAGACTTCACTGGTGATTTAGTTTTCTTCGAGACCTGTGTGGATGATGGGGACTGCTCAGTGCCACTTGAGAATGATCTGAGTTTTTTTCCGTATATCTCGAGGGACAATGTCTCAACCTCAAGCTTCCTGCGAGTTAATCGTCGCTGTGGTTGTTCTGGTTTGGGGAAGTCGTTCAGGTTTTCAAAGAGTTTTTGTGAAGAAGTTTTTTTGGGGGTGGACTTAGCCTGAATTAAAGGGGAGTTTCCAGGCAAACTTTGTTTCTGTGGAGAGATGTTTTTTTCAGATCCATCTCTTCCTGGTTCTGTGATCTCAGCTGTTCCGAGTTGGATACTTGTCTGTAGGCTTTCACTCTCAGTGTGTGAGGAGTGAGATGGTTCAACTTCTACAGTTTTTGATTGCAAATTTTTGTCTGCTTGTTCGTCTGACTCTTGATCCTTTTTCTCTTCCCCTCCAATAAGGCCAGCTGTCTGAGCATCTTCAATTATAGGTGAGCATCCTGCAGGTACAGACTTAAGAACAATCTGTGGAGACACCAAATCAGTTCTGTTCAGTTCACCTGAACTGAATTCATTATGAAATCACATACAAACGCCACGTCTTTAAAATATATCCTTTGTTCACAGAAGGCAAACTTTGAATTAAGCATGCTTCTGCACCTGTGTTGGGTTGGAATCTGCTGAATGTGTCTGAGCAGGAGCAGCATCTGCTTCACAAGATGATTTTTCAACATCACACTCTTGATTTGCTGACTCCTAAAAGCAGAAATATAACGGGCTGTTAACAATGTGGACATTTTTCAGAGCTGAATTTTTACATCCACATAAAGCACAAAGTAAGTTGTGAAAAATGGAAACATATTGTGAAATTATGTCATTCTTTAAAACTGGCACCATCTAGTGGTAGCAGTTCCTCCCTTAGCCAATTTTAAGATCCCTTTGGCATTCAATGACAAATACATGTCACTGATTTCACTTAATACAACACAGATTTTTCAAACAGGCATTTGAGTTCATAGTTTTGAGTTAAAGCAGTGAGAATTCCTTTACACCCTGGTAAGATCTCTTCAGTTTGTAATTTTTAGGGAACAGCGATAACAAAGTTATCGTATTGATCACACTGCAGGTTTTCAGCAGCTGATAATTAAAGAGCTTTCTGAACAACTCAGGACATCAGATGTAGCAAATAATTCTTCTCCTAATTTATTACTTTATTTTAGCTATACAGTAGTCCCTTGCAACTTCGCGGTTCGTTTATCACGGACTCGCACTATCAGTTTTTCAAAATAAGATTGGACATGACACACAATAGATTGCTTGATGGATGAGCCGCACGATCGACATGGAACTTCTATTTAAAATAAATTATTTAAAATTATTTAGCACCTCCAGAGCCTTTGTGCAGCCCTTACTGCAGGATAAAGCCCCCAGTATACTCCCGCGTACGTCCATACGCAGAGGTACGCACGTACGTGCGCGGAGGTACGAGCGTACCCCCCAGGGCATGTCCGCGCAAAGCTCAATTTTTACGACCGCATACGCGTACGTGGTGTCGCACAATAAACTGCTCAGCGACGGACTGTTTTGTTTGCGACACAAATGTATTAAATTCCCCTTCTTCATCTCTGATCTGGCCTTTTCTTTTGTTTTTTTGCCACTAAACTCAGGTCCAGCGTGGCTGCGGGAGGGTCTGGAGATTTCCTGGTGGGCTGGTCTGATGTGTGGGCTGCAGAGCTAGCACTCCGTTTTTTTTTTTTTTTTTTTTTTAGATCTTTTCATTAACAACATATGACCACAGAACACCGCTGTGGCTGAGGCTGCCAGCGCTTGTTTATTTTTTCTGACCTGTCAATCAATCCAGTAGGCGTGTCAGGAAATGACCAATCGGCGACCTCAATTTGTCCCGAAGGTAAACACCCTTTATCTGTGAAGCTGCTCTGCAGCTGCTCAGGGTGTACGCTCGAGTACAAAGTCTGAACCCTCTGTGTACAGTCCGCGCATATGTACGTGTGAACGGACGTACGCAGGAGTATACTGGAGGCTTAAACTTCCCCCTGCAGCTGAACAGCTGATCTGTGTGCAGAGCGGAGAAGTTGGTGTGGCCAAGAGCGCTTGCAGGTGGTGAAGGCACAGAGAGGGAAATCATGATGTTCTGTGCTCTTTTAGAGCATTTAGAATTTAGAAACATTGTTTAGAATATTGCAAGAGTGTGGGAAGGATTTAAAATGCCTTAATATATATTTATATAAATACTAAAACTACTACTTACTACTTGTACTACTATTTCTGCTTCATGGTTTTTCACTTATCACGGGACTTCAGGGTACTGATCCCCCGCAATAAACGAGGGACTACTGTAGTTGAACACTGTATTACACTCTGGTGTCTACTTTGTTTGAATAACATTAATACAATAGTTTCTATTTAACAACAGAAATCCCACAAAAAATAGCAGTTGTGGTAATTTTTGTCGTTTCACAGTAAGAGGGTTTTCTGTGTGGATGTCTTTGTAGGAAACGGATAAAGATCAGTACTTATGTGCTTTTATATCAATGTTCATTATGTGCTTTATGTGTTTCTTATACACATCTTCACACACCCTGACAAAACGTGCTACTATAATTTCACTTTATAGAGTATGCAGTGCTCTCTCACACACAAGCATGTTGGAGGCAAAGGGAGACTAGTGTTTGCCCAAGAGCACTTTAACAAGCTTGTAAGGCCACATCAACATTAAATGGGCTTTAATTTCCTACTACAAAGCAAATCCATGAATGTTACGAGAGCTGTCTAGTCTGAGCTGGTCTTTAGAGGGAGTTTACATGTGTAGTGTTAGGACTTCAGTTGTACAATGGACTGATGGTCTGTCCAAAATGTTCCCCACTTCTCTCTCAATATCAGCTGGCACCACCATATAATGCATATAAGCCAATCAATAGAAAAGTTGTAAATGAGTGTTTGTTAGAAAAATTACATTAAAAATAATACACAACCTCATAATGGTTTCTTACCTTGTCTGTCTTTTTCTCCACAATCACTGGTTGTTTTGTTGCCAGTAGGTTTTTATATCGGGACTTCATCGACTGCCAGCTGTGACTGGTCACATGCTGTTTCTCCATCTCTTGCCAAAGTTGGTTACCCCCAGTCCTTTTCTTCTGCGTGCTGACAAAATCCAAAATGGCAGCATCGTCTTTAGAGGTGTAGGCAAGCCTGCCTAATAATAATTAAAGAAAGAGTAAATGTGAATACATGAGTGGAAAGGCTTATATAATATACTACCACAAAGTTTAGGTTTTTGTAAGTATATTTTATTATTTGGCTGCATATGTTAAAAAAAAAAATTCCTTTTAGACATGTATAACTAAATAGAATAGAAGGAATAGAGCCTTCATTTATCCCTCAGTGGGGAAATTCAAGTGCATTGTGTATGTGTGAAAAACAAAACAGATCCATTGTGGTATTGCTTTGAACATGAATAATTTATGCATGTAGGTTGCAGATCAGAAGTTGTTTTCTGTCACAAAAGATATAAAAACATGTAGAAGCAAACGGAAGAATAAAGATGCAGAATGAAATGAGCAGCTCATGTGGTGATTCAGGACTGTGACTTTCAAAAAGTGCAAATTTAGTTGTTTAAATTATACCTCCTGAGAGTCCAGCAGCAATTTCTTTGCTACTGTTGAGTCTGGGAGAGTGTCTCTGGACCACTTCAGGATTGAACCTATAATCTTCTAAATTCAGCTGTTCCTCCTTCTCAATGCAGTCATAGATGTACTGGGTGGACACAAACCTAGTAAACGATAAAAACAGCCAACATAAAAAAAAGAGCCATAAACAAATGAGCATGCACAAACAGGGTTTCTCTGCAAAAAATATAAAATGCCCTGTATATTTCTGTTGCTTCTGTTCCTTCTTCTTTCAGCTGTACATTTGAGAGTGTCCTCTCAGACATATCAAGCTAAGTTAGTTATGCCATTACGTCTTCCTTACTAAACAAATTATATTAATGTAAATGTTAATCTTAGTCATTAGCATTTCATTCTGTCACCTACCAATGAGAAGAAGATTCAGGAACAGAGCACTTTTCCTGAGGATCAATCAGCAGGATGACTCCTGGCTGCTGAACCCTGCACATCTCCCCTCCTCCAGCTGTGATGAGAGGCTGGAGCTTTTGTTTGACAGGACCTGGTCGCAAAAAAAACTTCATGGGCTCAGCATCCACAGTCATGAAGAGGACTGGGGAGAAGGACGGGGCTGGATCTTGGTGTTTAGATGGCATAATCAAGCTACCTGGTGAAAGAAAAAAATATGCAATACTTGTTTTTAAAGAAGCAGCAGCTCCTGAAAACCATTCATATTATACTGTATATTTGATCAAAAACACCTTTACTACACTAAAATAAATAAAAAAATGCCCATGGGCAAAACAGACTCATGCTGTAACACAATAAAATCCCTTTGCAAAAGTTTTCCAATTGGGATTTAGTCACAGATATTTACAATGCCAGTATGCACAACCAGAACTATATTGGAAATAGAAAAAATATTATAAATATATAATTTTCACATGTCAAACAAGCAGTAGAAGATAAATGTGATTCAGTTTCTCATAAAGATCAAATATTGTAATTGATTGATCTCCAATAAAAAAAGATAATTTCCTCACACAAGAGTTATAACTGGAAAATATGAAGACAATGCAGTTTGTAGTTTGTCAGACTCCGCAGATGCTCATCAAATAAAACTCAGCTGAACAGTTTTCACAGTGAAAAAATGCACTTTACTACAGGGAAGAATAAATGTTGCCCTTATGCCAAATATTTTTAACAATACAGTAAGAACTATCCTGATGCATGCTCAATAATCCAGGTAGAAAAATCTAAAAAAGTTAAATCTGGTCCTCTGGACCTACATTTCTACATTTTGTTGTTGTTTTGCTTTGGTTTTTTTTTTGAATGTCCACATTTTGTTGTTGTTGTTTTGCTTTTTTTTTTTTTTTGAATGTCCACATTTTGTTGTTGTTGTTGTTTTGCTGTTTTTTTAATGTCCAGAGGACCAGATTTAACTTTTTTAGACTGTAAGAACTAGTTTTGCTCTATTTTTGTTCTGTATGTCTTCGTTTACACAAATGTCAAGTTGGTCTCGTCAATACTTCGTAAAAAAATAAATAGCTGCATGAAACCACGGCTATTGCACACACATTTATAGATAGAGGTTAAAGAAAATACCTGCTTCGAGCTCAACTGGGTCCAACTGGGAGTTTCCGCTGGTTAAGATTAGGTCATATAAAACTGGATACAAACTTTGTGTTCGGTCTAACCGGTAGAATTAAGACCAAATGTAGATTGTAACAAATGTTTTAAAAGCTGTTATCTTGAATTAACAACACCAAAAATACATGTTTTCCCGCCCGACAATAACTAAACAAATCAGACTTCCGGGTAATTTTCTTCTTCGGTGAAATTTTTCAGATGAGTGTTGCAACACCGCCCCCTCTGGTTGTATCATATACCACTAAACTAAAATGTCATCAACATTTTTTCATGCAACCTTTATTTATGCAGGTTAGTCAACAACAACAACAACATAATAATAATAATAATAATAATAATAATAATAATAATAATAATAATAATAATAATAATAATAATAATAATAATAATAATAA